TTTTATATTTTAGTTTTAATAGTATTTTTTCCCATTTTTTCCATTTAAAAAAAAAAAAAAAATAAATAAATATATATATATATGAAAAAATAATAAGTAAAAATATGTATCATATAAACAAAAACATACAAAATAGACCTTAAACAGACTGTGCTACACATAAGCATGACGGCACATGAAACAGTTATACAATTGTAACTGCTATTCTTACCTTACAGAGAGACTTTGGTGGTGGTCCTTATGTCCGATGCCAGTTTATGGAAAAATATGAAGTCTGTGAGCCATCAGCCTTGAACAAACAAGTTTGTTTTGGAGGATGAGGATGAGGAGAGAGGAGAAGGTCGAGAAGTCATTGTGCGGGAGCTAACGCTTATTCTGCCTGCTGCTGCGGCGGGAAACATACTGAGAGACACAAATCACAGCGGTGCTATGAAAGATTCACTCTCTCGCTCTCTCCTGCTATCCCCCACCCTCTGTCTGTTCCTATCCTTCCCTCTCTCCTCCTCCTGTTCTTGTAACTAACACTGCTCTTTGTGTGTGACTGTCTGTGATTGTCACATGTCTAATGCCTCTCATTCACCTCCTCTCTGTCAGTCTATTATAGGGCTTGCATGACTGCTTGTTTTTTATAGTTGACTAGTCGCTCAGACAAGTAAATGAGCCACAGTACGGCATGCAGCTTCAGCGGTCTTTGCTGTTTCTGTCAGGTCGGGCACTGTGTTGAGAGTGTGTAAGTGGAGAAAACATCCACACCGCTGAGATGATACGCTTGAGAAATCAAAGTGTGGATGTTTCCATTAACTGTGTCCTCACTTATAGTTTCTATCAGCCTCTGGGCAACGCTTGATTATTATTTTCTGGGTGGTTTGCAAGAATTCTGGCTTCTGTGTGAACACTCCAAATAAACTCAGGCCCCCTTAGATGTCTCTCTCTTTCTATACAGTATGAATAGGGTTCACTATATTTTCACATTTGTGACCCTGGAGCACAAAACCAGTTTTAAGTAGCACGGGTATATTTGTAGCAATAGCCAAAAATGCATTGCATGTGTCAAAATTATGTTTTTCTTTTATGCCAAAAATCATTAGGATATTAAGTAAAGATCATGTTCCAAGATATTTTGTAAATTTCCTACCGTAAATATATCAAAACGTAATTTTTGGTTAGTAATATGCATGGCTAAGAACTTCATTTGGACAACTTTAAAGGTGATTTTCTCAATATTTAGATTTTTTGCACCCTCAGATTCCAGATTTTCAAATAGTTGTATCTCAGCCAAATGCTGTCCTATTCTAACAAACCATACATCATCTGAAAGCTGAATAAATAAGCTTTCCATTGACGTTCTCGATTTCAAATTAACCCTTATGATTGATTTTGTTGTCACAAATTTGGTTAATTGCAAAGGAATTTCCCTTTAACTTGTGTCATCTGAATCCACTGGCAAGCTGTTCTTTTCAGTGTTATAGTAGTATATCATTGATATACTATTATCCACCTTATATTTAAATGCAGAAGTAAGCCATTTTTCTATGAATGGGCGAGACTTCCAGTTCATTAGCCACTGTAGGGAAATAATGAGAAGAATAACAAAGTGCAGTAAACTATTTGCACTGCAAACTGGTGTGTTTTTAATGTAAGATAATACATTAAAGGGGTCATGGGATGCCCATTTTCCACACGTTGATATGATTCTTTAGGGTCTTAATGAAAAGTCTGTAACATAGTTTGGTAAACAATTCTCAATGGTAGTGTAAAAAACACCTTTTTTACCCTGTCAAAAACAGCTCTTTTCAGAGCATGCAGTTTTGTAGCATTTTCCTTTAAATGCTAATGAGCTCTGCTGACCCCGCCCCTCTCTTCCGAGCTGCTCTCGGGGGCGCATTCCCTTCACAAACAAATGTAATCCACTGCGTCTTCAGCGGCCCAGATGTCGGGAGTAAATGACGACTGCTATGTTCAGTTCATTATTACATCCAACAAAGAACACCTCAATCTCTTAGGAGTCATTCTTGTCTACAACTGCTCCGGCGGTGAAACAATGGCAAACTGATGACAGCTCACTTTTCACATTTTGTCACAGTCCATAAGTTTACTTTTTGTTTCACAAACTCTTAAAGTCGCAGTGCTTAAGATGCACAGTTTGTCACTAACAGCCATGTATAGACACTCTGTGTGCTCACAGGACGTGTGGAGGGGCTTGCTGGAGGTATTTATAGCCAGACTTTACATTCTCCCATCACTAGACTGGGTGGACCATCAAAGCATGTGACAGCACACAGTGTAACTCACATTAACTGACAGTCACCACTGATAAGCTACCACTAAATATTGTAGAAACTTAATTTGCTGTAAAGTTGCATTGCAACGATTTGTATCGTGAAAAGCGCTATACAAATAAACTTGAATTGAATTGAATTGAATTATGTCTATATAGTTTTCTATTATGTTTTAGCTTTTCGTTTTAGTTATTTTAGTACTTCAACTAAACGAAAATGAGAAATGTTGCCTTAGCAACTAGCTTAAATAAAATGTTTTTAAATTTTATTTCAGATTGTTTATTTCAAATAATTTATTTTTTTATAGTTTCCGTTTTACAATATAAACAAGAATTCTAATAATAATAAAGATTATTTATTTATTTATTTATTCATTCATTCATTTATTTGGTATGTAATTATTTAAAATTAAATTAAATTAAATTAAAATTTTCTGTTTTTGCTTTGGGCATTTTGCCTTTGAACAGTATAAAGAGTGGGTATGAAGCAAAGTAAGAGAGAGAAGGAGATGAAATCAGAAAGGACCACTAGCCCAGGGAGACCCAAAACACTGCATGTCAGAGCACTTCTCCAAAGGCTATTGGCTTTGGCCATTGGGAAGCAGCTGATGGATAGATGAATTTGCCTCCAGGTGTTGCATGTATAGAACAAACGAGGGGTGAGAACCAGAAGGGCATAAGTGACATTTTGGGTGAAATGGAGAGATATATATATACTGTATATCAAATTAAAGCTCTTGATGAGCTCTTTCTACTACTTTCTAGTGAATTCTTAATAATTCTGGAGTTATTCATTAGAAACCAAAAGACTTAACTCTGAACATACTAAGCCAGTTGGTGCCAAAAGGGCGTAACTGCACTTATGCCCTTTTGGCACTGAGAAATGTACTGTGGGTAAAGCTTGTGGATAGCACTTGAGTCAAAATGGCTGACACCACATGTAACCAGGTAGGTCAACCATGAGAAGAAAACTGTTTTTTACTGCTGAAGATGTATTATTCATCTTTTTTGTGACAAAGAGCTGGATGATAAGGGAGAAAATGAATTATCCAGAATTAATTGTCAGTGAGGTGTAGCTAGCTAGCGGGTAGTAACCAATAACTTGCTTTCTGATTTTATGTCCCTGGTGAAAAATAAATACAGAGTTCTGGCATGAAACTCTAGATGGCGCAGTCCGATAGATCTAACTCAATCTGACCTAATGACATCATCAACAGCGTAGCAGATCTATTCCGCCAAACCAAATACATTAACATTGGCATGTACATTACCATGCCAATCCCTCCGAGAGTTGTCATGCCAGAAATATACTAAAATGTATTTGAAATACATTTATTTCATGCTAAGTATACTACAAATACATTTACATATGTA